GCTGTGATTTAAAAAAAATCTAGTAATCAGTGAAGTCCTTCACAAATAACTTTATTCAACACTCTTAAATATTTTGCATGTTTTACAGGCAAGTTACAACAATCTGCAAAAAAACGCTATTAAAAAAATGCTATGAACTAAATAGAGAAGCAAGAACAGGTTATGTTATATAGCAAAGGGTGAATTAACTCTTTCTTTCCAGGGAACCAAGCTACTGAGTTTTTGACTTACAACTTGTGCAAATATTACAGTAATTGAGTGTTTTTCTGGTAATAGTTTTGCCTAAAGTAGAGGTTAGGCAAGGAATGTCATGGCAACACAAGGACCAGTGGATCCTTGGGGACAACAATGCTGGGCACCATGGAAGGTTTCCCCTGGCAGGGGGCAACAGGATAGGAGCTTGGCAGCCACTGCTCATCCAGCAGAGCTGGATTCTTCAGCATCTCTGGGCAGCGACTGACGGTCCCAGGCTGAGAAGAAATGGGGCCTTGTGCCATGGGCAGGGCTGGGAGAAGATCCCAGCTCTAGTGCTTTCAAGGCCCTGACAGTGTTAGTAGGAAAGTAAGGAAAGTTTCTGAGTAAAAAGTAAATATTTCCATCCAGATCAATTTCAGCTTCTGACAATGTACATGAAGTGCACGTGCAAAAAGTAATATGTGGAACTCCGCTAATTGCTACATAATAAACTACCACGGCATGAAATGTCATGCTGGGAGTCTAAGGCTCCAGAGGGTCAAAAAGTGTGCTCAACAGAATTCTCTGCCCAAGCCATCAGGAGGTCACTCACCCTCAGGCAGGGCATTGTATGGAGAAACCCTGCACGGTTTCCTGCAGCACAGAGATCTACAGGTGCCAGCTGTGTACCAGGACAATTTATCCACTGTAAAATATGGTCCCAGGAAGTGTAACAGTGTAACAGCCATTTCATATACACAAAGATACAGCCTGTGTCATAAACAATTCCAAACACTGTGCATTCATCTTTATTCTCTCATTATTTTAAAGACATTTTATATTGCTGATGGGAAGGAAAAAAAATTAAAATGCTTTTGACAAGAAATAGACTTTTGTACAAGATCATTCCCTCCCCTTCCAATTTTCTTTTTGTGCTGCAGCTGCTGTTGCCAGGCTGTCTTTGTTGCTATGGTGGTGTTTTGTGTGCCAGAATTTTATATTCATTCTTTTAGAGTCACCTGATTGAGTGGCTGTGCTACATAAGTTATCAGCTTTACTCATAAAGATAAAAGATATATCAGCCTGCTGATGTTATTTACCTATGACATCAATAAATTGATCAAACTTAATACAACCATATCTATGGCCACCGGCCATAAATTTACGGAAGTATTAATATAACAAGTGAATTCTTATAGTAAATGAGTGACTTAAAAAAAATCTCACTTGGGGATATTACCTTTAGTAGGTTTCATTTTTTGGCATGACAGTCATCGACAAGGCAGCTTTACTATACCTTGCCTTATATTTGTCTCTCAGTGGAAAGATTTGAGTTCTATAGTCCAAACAAATTGAAAGGTGCCTTTCTCAGAATGATTGTGCTTTTACCAGAGATACAGGGTCACGTTTTCTTTCTTTCTTTTCTGGAAAATTGCTCTGTACAAGTTAACGATCCTGCTCCCGCTGATAATTAAAGCATAATTTGGTCCAATTTAAAATGCAATTAGGATAATATACCTCTGTTGAAGATGAGTTTATCTTTAATCCCAAATCCTGCAAACACTGTCACTCATGTTTAACTCTCCGTACACCAAGTGCACCAGTGTACTTAAGCATTTTCAAGTCAGGGGCCACTGCTTCTTTTCAAAATGTAGATTTACACCAAGAAATTCAGGATAGCAAGTGGCAATGAGATATTTCACATACGTGTCTCTGAAATCAATGTTAAAAAAGCTATATTTTAATGCATAGCTCATACAGTCTTTCAGTGTAGCTTTCTCTGTATTTTCATTTGACCTGACTTTGATCAATGCCATCTGTTACAGTGACTTATCTGCCAACGTCCATTTGCACATCTGAATCTAAACTTATTGTGTATTCATCTTATTTTCTGGAAATTAACTAGCAATACATGAAATATTTTATACAAATGATGGCTTACAAGTACACTGCATTCTAGTGACTTACTTACACTAGACAATCATTTTACAGCCCAGGCTGCAAAACCAAAAACATTCAGAAGTTAATTCCTGCAGTGCAAGATCAGTGTGTATCCCATCCCATAAGTACATTTTTTAATAACTACCTTAATAACTTCACAGCCAAGTTTATTGTTATTAGCCATACAACTTTATTTCAATTTCATGAAACTAAAAGCGGCTGAGTAAAGAAGAAACAGAATACAGGCATAACAATCTTAGTACCTTGTGAGCCTTACAGTACATTTGGATAAAATGTGCCTGCTTCTTCCTGTGCCTGACGTAGAGCAATCACTTAATGATAATTGTACTCTTTATGGGTATAATGATCCTGCTGAACGTAGCCTATTTCCAGGTCAGTGATGCCATGCTTTGCGGAAAAGAGTTTCAATTTAGATGCACATAGAATTTAAGTGTTTGAAATGTACTGTGTAGCAAAAAATGTATTCTTAGCTGGAGCAGAGGCTGATTAAGCAGCACTGATAACACATAAGCTAGATAGCTCAGTTGAAACTGAATTCCCACTGATTTCACTGAGCCTAGGATTTCAGCAAACACTGAATATTAAGCACTTTCCAGAATTGTTGCTTAGTAGGCAGACACACTGCCATTTCCTTTTGTGCTTATTCCTCCTCTGAATGCAAAATCCATTAGATATCTGCCATTTAAAAGGCGTGTTTTCCTTTGGCCAAATACCATGTTCCGGTATGCTTCATCAGGTTAAGACTGAAAAGCCACAAAATTGCTCCAAACAGTTTTTTGTATTTGAAATATCATATCCAAGTAAAACAGCTAATGCTGATTTATAGGGTGACTGACTACATGGTCCTGCTAATAGATTCCCAGGGCTTCGTGGTATCATCAGAAATCAAGTGGTATCACTGTGAATTGTAACTGCTTTTTCCTAACAATTCAAAGAAGGCTAGGTCAGGGAAAAATGTATTACAGCCTTGCTGAGAAAACTGCCAGAGATGCATCCACCTATAGCTGTTTCACATCTTTCAAACAGCTGGTTTTGGCAGACTGCTGTGAATATAAGTATTTAGGTGAGCATGGTTTTAAATGATCATGATACTGTAGTATCTGTGCTCTTTGCTCTTATTTTCATAGGATTTAAATATTTCATTTTTGTTCATTTGTATAATACATTCCCTGTACTCAGCTCAGGTGAGGTCGCGCCTCGAGTGCTGTGTCCAGTTTTGGGCCCCTCACTGCAAGAAAGACCTCAAGGCCCTGCATTGGGTTCAAAGAAGGGCAACAAAGCTGGAGAGGGGTCTGGAGCACAGGGCTTATGAGCAGCAGCTGAAGGAGCTGGGATTGTTCAGTCTGGAGATAAGGAGGCTCAGGGGAGACCTTATTGCTCTCTGTAACTACCTGAAGGGAGGTTGTAGTGAGCTGGGAGTCAACCTCTTCTCTCATGTAACTGGTGATAGGACTAGAGGGAATGGCTTCAAGCTGCACCAGGGGAGATTTAGGCTGGACGTTAGGAAATACTACTTGTCTGAAAGAGTGGTCAGGCACTGGAATGGGCTGCCCAGGGAGGTGGTGGAGTCACCGACCCTGGAGATGCTCAAGGAACGTTTGGATTTTCTGTTGAGGGACATGGCTTAGTGAGAACTGTTGGTGATGGGTGGATGGTTGGACTGGATGATCTTGAAGGTCTTTTCCACTCTTGGTGATTCTGTGATTCTGGGATGAAAAGGTAGTTGTGAAAATGGTACTGAAAAACTCTCTCCCTTGCTCCCATCAAAACAGACCAATCCCATATCTACATCAGTGCAGTCAAACTCTGAATTTGTTATCATTTAAGTCACAGCAAATCAATGGGAAATATCACAGGAGTGAATGCGTGAAGTTTCATTCTGCCCCATATTTGCATGGCAGGCTGATACCAAAACAACTGAGCAAATGGAGTAATTGGCCATGGAACATGTCTGTTGTCTGCAGAGACTACTGGAAAGGTGTGAACTCAGATCCCACTAAAGGCAATCAAAAGTTTCTTGTTGAAGGGAAGAAAGTTGGAAGAGGCCCAGTAAGCCTTAACAACTCAGGAACTAAGAGCATTTCAGGAGTCTGACATGCCACTTTTGTACCTTTCCAATTACAAAACAAATAAACAAAACAGAAAACACCAAACAAAATCAAAAAGCTTTCCCCCACTTACATAATACATATATTTCTAAAGAGTAATTTCTTTAAAACGCTATTCCTTTGAAACAAAACCAATTTTTCTTTGTAGACATTCTTTCTACATCGTTTGCTTTATCTTGTAGAAGTTTGACCTTCTGCCCCAAAATCTTAAGGGTCAACTGAAAACCTCTACAGAGAAATTTGAGATCTCGTGCTGTGTCATCTGATGCTTTCTATCTACTGTGGCTGCACAGGGATGTGAAAAGAGACAGTCATTTTTGGAGCACATATGACTTTGTTCTTCAAAAATCTTTCCTTAAAAACATTGGATTTAGGATTTTGTTGGGTGAAAGGAGATTTTGCCATTGTCGTCTTTTTTGTGGAGCAGAACTAAATTGAATTAAGAAATTACGAGGAAGTTGCTTCATTTTGTGAGAGCACAAAGCTTTGGGAAAGCAATTTAACAAAATTCATGCTGGGAATTGTATGCACCATTTTCTTTAAGAGTCTTTCCTCTTTTGCTGTCCCGTTCATTGCTTGTGGTCCAAGTACTGCCCTGCCATTACGCTTTTTATCCCGGGAAAGTGTGCCATGCCTTTTCCTTAAAACAGTGCTCAGCTTCCCTCGCGCTCACGCCTTGCGTAGCCTGGCATCGGTAGGAGGTACCACTCATCGTCCGTCTCTCCCATCGGTAGGACAAGCGATCGAGACACTCACCTTCGGTCCCTCGTCCAATACGCTGGGACCCTCGGCTGCCTCTCTCGCGGTGGCTTTCGTCCCCGCACCGCCACGCGTCTCCCCGTCACCCTTCTGCGAGGCCGGTGCTTCTGTGTCAGCTCCCCGGTTTTGGGGCCAAGGATAGACCGCGTGCCACTCCCCCGGCGCGCTTCGAGGAAGGCAACTACCGGCCGCCGGGGGCCGTCCCGCCCCACGGCGGCGCCCCACGGCGGCGCCCCGCAGCGGCCCGCGCCGAGGCCCGTCCCTCCCCCCGGCTCCGAGCTCCCCCGAGGGCCGCCCCAGGATCGGAGCCAGCCTAGGCCTCGGCCCGGGGCGCGGGGCGGCGCACCGCCGGGCGGAGGGCGGCGGCCGCCCAACGCAGCCCGAAGGTCGGCAGGGCAGCGCTCCGCGGGGCGGCCGGGCCGGGCGGCCCCTCAGAAAGCGGCCCGAGGCCGGCGCCGGCGCCCCGCCGCTCTCCCGGCCCGACCCCGCGGCGGGTCCCGCAGCGGCGCCGCTCCCTCCCGGCCGCGGCCGGCAGGTGGCGCCGCAGCGCTGCCGGCGCGGCGCGCTGACCTCGCGCGGGGGAACCTCGGGGGCCGAGCTAGGCGGAGGAGGGGCGGGCGGGGAGCGGGCAGCGGCGCTCGCGCCGTGCCCTGCCTGCGCGTGTGAGAGCGAGCGGGCGTGTGCGTGGCGGCGAGCGGCGGTATATAGGGGATGTGCCGCCGCATGGCTCGTCCTGGCTGCCGCCGCGCCGGGTTTCTCCTCGGGCGCCGGTGAAACCTCTCGCCCTCCGGCTCGGCGGCCGCTCCTCCGCCCGCGCCTGGCGCGCCGAGCGCGGTTCCCGGCCTCCTTCCCGGGGCTGTTTCTGGAGCCCCGCCGTCCTTCCTGAGGCGGCCGCCGTCTCCCGCGGCTTCTGCGCTCCGGAGCGAGCGCGTAAATGCGGTGCAGATGGCCGGGGCGCAGCCAGGAGTGCACGCTTTGCAGCTCAAGCCCGTCTGCGTCTCCGACACGCTGAAGAAAGGCATTAAATTCGTCAAGTGGGACGATGTGAGTAGCTTCTTCGCTCGGTCCGGGCGGCACGGGCACGGCGCGGCTCCGCGGCGGGCACGGGGCGGGCGGGAGGCTCCGGCTTCTACGGATCGGTAGTCGGACCGCTCGGCCGGGCCGCCCCGCGGGCGCCGTGCCCGCTGAGCGGGGCAGGTGGAGGTGGCGGGAGCCGGCGGCTGCTCGGCACGACCGGGGCCCTCGTCCGGCTGGCCGTCGCCTCGCGGGGTCCGTGCCGCACCGGGGGGCGCTGCTGGAGCGCCAGCCTCGTGAGCCCAAACTTTCTCCGAAGATTCAAGTCTTCTCCGCGCTCGCGTCCCCTGGCCGGTGCGAACGGTGTTTTCGCTGACTCTCTTCGCTAGCGTCCTGCTCTCCCTCCTTGTCTTATTCTGCACGTTTCCTTCTCTGTGGCTACGGCGTAGTTGTTTTCTTTCTTTCTCTATCTACCCTTCCCGTTGCCTTCCTGGGCCTGGTGGTGTTGCCCGGCTCTGGGCGCCTTATCCTTCAAGTCAAGTATTCCCACCCCTCTCCTTCCTTGGTTAGTTGGAACACAAGATCTACCTTAAAATCGCACCTGCTTGCCACTTGCTGCTTCCTGTCACCTTTGATTTGTGTTTCTTCACGTAGAGCAGCATGGTTGTTGCTTTACCTTCAGTGGGGCAGCTGTTCTGCCTTTCTTTGCTGGCTGTGTCTGGGATGCTATTAGAGAAAGTAGCCCTTCTCTGGTCACCTTTTTTTTTTTTTTTTGTCAGTTCATGAAAGTAAGAATCCTCTGCAGTGGAAAAGAAAGGCAGAAAGGATTGGTCCTCTCCTAGCTTTGCTCTTGCAGTGTTGTGCCTCCGGTATGAGGTTGGGTGTTTGTGCCCCAGTTGCGCAGAGTGCGTGCCCAGAAGTCTGCCTGTGATACAGAGACAGAGGAGCAGATGGGAAGGCAGGCTGGGCACACTGGGCAGTTTCAATGTTGTGGGAACTGTTGAGGTTAACTTGAAGGATGTAACACAGTTCTCACTTCTTCTGTGTATTTGGCTGCACTAAAGACTTGCACAACAGCAACTGGAGGGACAGCGGAGAAAGGGAGAGAAGGGGCAGTGTATGTGTCTGACAGTTGTTCTTGTTCTGCTGTGTATTGCGGTTTTGCCATTGCTCTCAGCCTGTCCAGCAGCCAAATGTGTAATCCAGACCTCTATAAACCATGACAAACGCTTTCAAGGAAGGAAAGAACATCAAAGAAGTGAACAAACTGTAGAGTGGAATTGTATTTACGAGGAAAGACTGATACCTTTCTAATATACTCAGCATTCTGACCTTGTCCACAGTAATAAACAGTGCTCTAAAACAGGTTATGGTTGTTGAGAAGATAGATGGAACTAAGCTTGAATGACTTGTCTGATAGTCAGAAAGATAGGAGGATTTTTTTTTTTTTTTTTTTTTTTTTTTCCCATTAGTATATAGGCAAAATAACCTCAGCCTTTGCCATTGTAGTTTTATTTTTGGTAAGCTATCAAGATGTTTAAACAGATAAATGTAGGGGTCAAGTGAATGGTAATTTATGTCTCCAGAATGGGACTCTGAGCAATTAGGCAACAGTTAAAATTATTTGCCTGCAATTTCCAGAGCATTGTACTGTGTACATGGATTAGCCACAGAATGTCCGCTGCGCATGGAGAGCACCTGCTTCAAGTTCTGTATGTTATAGGCTGAATGGAGCAAGATCTACAATTTTAAATGTCAGCATTGCAGTAGTAAAAAAGGGCTAAAATGCCCTAAGTATGCTGTTCAGGTTAAAGGTGATAGCGAGCAACACATGGGTATTACCTGGAATGTGTTACTGAGGGAGTGCTTTTATCAGCTTATTCAGGGAGCTTGTGGAAATTGTTGTGTATTGAGCTGCACCTGTGTGATGCAGAATACCTGCATTAACTCATTGCTGACTGTGCTCTGTGTATGCATGCAAGTTGCCCTCCCAGTCCTGTGTTTTGCTCATGGTGGTTTTTTTCTCAGCATTGAAAGCATCACAAAATCAGACTTCAAGGGAAATTAATCTCTTCTGGCATTCGGTCTATCAGGAAGTCTGTAGACCAATGCACATTTAGTGACTTTGAAAAGTGTTGGTCGCTGAGTAGCCAGTAACAACTTCAGAGTATTTGTTTTCTACCAAATGAAGCTGCTTGTAGAATTTCAAAGAAGGATGATCATTAATCTGAACCTCTGTGGTCTGTTGTGTGAGTACACATGCACGAACTCTGAGTGGAACAATAGGCTGTAATGAGAAATGGTAAACTGCAAAATGGAACAGTGAAATGGAATTAACCATAATGAGTACTTTGGATCTGCTGTGCTCACGGGGCTGATCAGAAAAGCTGGGCTCACATGCTGGTGTTTATTGCTCACCATTTTGTATTTGTGACTTCAAAGCATGAATGGGAGTCAGTCCCTCATTCCTGTTGTAGGCATACCCTTTTAGTACACCTTCTTGCTGTCTTGTTTTGCAGATGGCTCTACTGATGTTTTTCTTCATCTCATAAAGCAGAGGAGTTTTTTTGCCTGTTCCTATGATTTGTACCAAGAGCCCAGAGCAAAATTTTTTCAGCTGATATAAATTAAAGCACTGAAAAATAGCGCTTTTAAAAAATGAGAATGCAGAAAGAATTTTAACCAGGGCACGAGAGGCGTGTAAGGAATTTCTTGGTGTATAGAGTAACAGTTGTTAAAGAATGTGTTTGGTAGCTTGTGGAAGGATGCTGCAGGGTGCTATGCAGAACACATCTGAGAAATTAGCAGTGCTACAGACTTGGAAACAGACCCACCCATGGACACCCCGTCCTGTACTTCTGGTAGCTGTGCCTAATTGGTAACTCGGAGGCTGCTGATACACAGCTGTGGTTGTGATGTTGTTCCACAAGCGTCCTCTCTGAGGAAGAGCAGGGAACCGTGTGAGAACTTTATCCAGTGCCTGCATCTCCTCCTGCCTGCCCCCCCAGGCATGAAGGTAGGCCGCTTGGAAAGAGAAAAGCCTTTCCTGAGCTTTGCTAAAATCCTGGCAGAGGAGAGGGAGTGGTTGTGTCACCTCTCAAGGTTAAATACAGGCAGGTGGAAGGCAGGCAGTTCAGGAACCTTGATGTTTCATTTTCTCTTCAGACCATTTTCAGTTTCTGGATAACAAAAACATCAGAGACAATTAAAAAGTTTTGGCTTTGCAATTCCAGTCACATGAACATGCATTGGCACTGGCTGTAATATCACTTACATTCAGCCATGTGACGTCTGCTAGATTCTTCACAAATTCAATTTTGGATCAGAATGTAAAGCACTAAAATCTGGCTGATGACTACTAGCCTATTATTTTGCTTTCTCTCTCACTATTTCTCTTTTAATCTATAACAGTCTTATAGTCAAGAAAACACATTTTAGAGTTACTGATGTCTGGATTGGGCTCACAGTGTACTGTAAAGAAATAGATGGAGTTTGAATGAGTGAAAGACAAGTGACTGTTCATAGGGTTTTTGGGGATGTATGTGTGTGTGTGTCTGGCATATGGTACCTGTTTGCTGAGCTTCTTTATGCCGCCTTCATTTGGGATTTTTATCACCACTTTACTACCATAAGGAGACTGAATTTCCAAAGTACTGATGTGGTCTTCAAACAGATGTGCTTTGCTGTTCTTAGAGAAAGCGACAACTATGCAAGGAGAGGGAAGGCTGGAAGAGGGGCTGATTTGTTTCGTTTGGCTGTAGTGAAACTAAGGGTTGTAAGAGCTGCTCCTGATCAGTTTTAAAACAGTCTAAAATGGATAAATTAAAAAACTGCCATTAAGTCTATGGGTGAAGCTGTTCTGTAGGCGGTGAAATTTACTGTAGGTTTGTATGTTGCTAGCTGAGGAGATCAATGAAACTTGAGTATAAAGGACTTCCTCAGCACTGATCTGGCTGAAGCCTGAAGGGACTCAATCCTGCGTTGGCTGTGTCATCTTTTTGCAGTGGGAAGAAGATGGGTATAACTGAGTTAACAAATTGCTCAACAGCTCAACTGAAGTGTGTTTTTCCAAATGCAGTAATTGGCATACTGAAAAAAATTAATATGATGGTGTATATTCAAAAATAGCTTTGTTATTACCTCTTGCTTAAAGTCTTTCTTATCTACACTGCTGCTAATATGTACTTTACATAAAGAATTTGACTGGTTTCTCTGTGGCTTATGCTATTTACTTTTAGTTGTGAGTTAACTTTTAAAGTAAAGTAATGCAGCATTATCTATGTTGAGGCGTGTGGTTGCTTTTTTTTTTTTTTTTTTTTAAAGGAAATTTTTAATTACTGAAACAAAATTACTGATAGGCGGTATTGGTTGGTGGCTGCAACATCAGCTGTTCCAGGGAGGAGCAAAAATGAGCCCAGCTCTTCTAAGCACTATTTTAATACTTCATTTCTCTTGGAGTGCTTCTTTGCCTTTATAAGTGTTTTTGAGTTCAGACCATGAGTGCTACCTGGAGTTGGTAGGCTTTATTTGTTTGGAGTCTTTTAAAGAAGATTATCTGGGGTATAGGATACATTTACTTGAAAGTTTAAAGGAGATGTAACATCCAAGTATCATTGTTAAAGATAAGCTGAGAACAAACAGCAAAAAGAAGACCAGAAATCTTCAGAAGGACTTGAAGATGTTGGAGGGGGGGAAAAAAAAAAGCTCGTATAACTTCCTCCCCCCCCCCCCCCCCCCCATGTATTTTTAAACTCAGCACAAGTCTTTCACTGCAGTATATTACAGAGTCTATGAGAAATAAGCAACTATTGTTCTCTGTATTTAAAACTAAAACAATAAACTGAGAACAGTTTATTTTTTCTGAATGTTTTCAGCCTGGAGGGGAGAAGTTAGTCAAACTCTCCAGATTTTTTCATTGGTTTTTTGTTCTTTGTTTCTCCTCTTCCAGTAATAAACAAGTACTGGCTCTGTGCTATCTAAAATATTTAACCTAAATGAATAGGAGTTGTGGTTTGGGTTGTTTGCAACGT